GTAACATCTATTAACTCCCCATTCCCCACGCCCGACAAGCAAAGCAGCAGAATGTCTCTGGGGTCCATTTTCTTTTGATGCTTTCTGCATTATTAAATATTTTACCCATAGTATACTTCAACTCTGTAAATCAAGGCTTGAATTTTTCCCTCAATTCTTTCAGCTTGAGAAATGTTAAGCATGTTCTTCCTTTTGGTTTTTTAACTCCAGGTCTTTCACATTTCATTATAATACTTGGCTCTTCTTCTATTTTCTTCCTCATGTCTTCCATTTGCTTCAGCATCTCTTCACTGGAGAGCAAGTTTCAGGGTCTCATCTGACACCCATTTTAGTTTTTTCCTTCTTTCTTGTCTTCTTAATAACCTTTTGCTTTTTTCCAGTATATTCTTGTATATATCCCTCAACTCTCCTGGTATTTGGTCAGTAGTGTATAATGCATCAGATCTGTTCAGATGATTTCTAAATTCAGGTGGGAAATGTTCAAGGTCATAATTTGGCTCTCGTGGACTTATTTTAATATTCTTAAACTTTTGATGATCTGTTCCACAGTGTGCCCCTAGCCTTGCTTTCATTGATGATATGGAGTGTGTCCACTGTTTCTTCCCACAGATGTAGTCAATTTGATTTCCATGTATTCCACCTGGTGAAGTCCATGTGTATAATCATCTTTTATGTTGTTTAGAAAAGGGTATTTGAATTAAGAATTTATTGGACTTGCAAAATTCTATCATGCGATCTCCAACATCTTTTGTATTACCAAGGCCATATTCGTCAATGACTGATCCTTCTTTTTCTCCAACCTTTACATTCTAATCATCAGTAATTATCAATACATCTTGATTGCATGTTTGATCAATTTCAGACTGAAAGAAGTTAGTAGAATTCTTCAATTTCAGCATCACTAGTTTAGTGGTTGGTGAATAGATTTAAGTACAGTGGAGTTAACTAGTTTCCTTGTAGGCAATATGGACAGTATCACATAACAGATATCATTATTCTTCAAGATAGACAATGATATGTCCTTTTGATGATGAATGTGACGCCAATCCTCTTCAATTTGTCATCGTCGTCATAGAATATATGATTGTGAGTTTCAAAACTACCAGTACCAATCCATTTCAGCTCACTAATGACTAGGGTATCAATATTTATGTGTTCCATTTCATTTTTGACAATTTACAATTTTCTTAGGTTTATACTTAACACATTCTATGTTGCAATTTATGTTTACAGCTGCTTTCTTCATTTTGAGTTCTGCCACATCACCAAATGAAGGTCCCAAGAGCTTTACTCCATTTGTGATATCATAGTCAAATTTACTTTGAGAAGGCAGCTCTTTCCCAGTTGTATTTTGAGTTTCTTATACCATGATGGGCTCTTCTTCAAGCACTATACACCTGACTATATCCCAGCGCTATTTATCATATTTCAATAAGCAATGTTATGGTGCTATCTGACAATGTTTCACTGCTATACATTAGGTTTTGAGTGATAATAATTCAGAAGTAGTCTGCCTCTCCTTCTGTCTTAGTCTAGAAAGAAACTCAGCTGAAACCTGTCTACCATGGGTGAACCTGCTAGCAATCAAAAATTGGTGGCATAGCTTCCAGCATCGCAGCAACAAACAAGCCACCACAGTAAGACAAACTTGAGTTATTGCTGTTAAGTACCATGGAGTCGGTTCCGACTCATAGTGACTCTGAACAGGGTTTCCGAGGCTGTAAATCTTTATGGGAGCAGAAAGCCTCAACTTTCTCCCACAGAATAACTGGTAGTTTCGAACTGCCGACCTTGAGGTTAGCAGCCTGATTCGTAACCACTACGCGATGAGTGGTGGATATAAAAATAGAACTTAATAAAAAGGGAATATACAGGGACATGAAAAAAAAAAAAGTATTTCAATGCTGTAATGCTTAATCATTATCCATATTCCAAGAAATGCTTAAAAGAATGTGACATATAAAAATAAATTAGTACATTACTTTAAAAATATTATTTATATACCATATATAGATATATGGAGTCCTGGTGGCATAGTGAGTTACACATTGGGCCATTAACCACTTAGTTGGTGGTTCAAATTCACCAGTCCCTTCATTGGAAAAAGAAGAGGGGTTCTGCTCCCATACAGATTTAGAGCCTCAGAAACCTTATACAGAGTCACTACAAGTGGGAACCAACACAACAGCACACAACAATAACATAAAGATATACAGAAATATGAAACAGAAAACACAAAATCTAATGCTTCATAATTGGTAGTAACCAATTTTCGGGGACCTGATTTGTTGTTGCTGTTGTTAAGTGCTGTCGAGTAGGTTCCGACCCATAACGACCCTGTACAGGGTTTCCGAGGGTGTAATTCCTTACGAGAGTAGAAAGCCTCATCTTTCTCCCGCGGAGCAGCTGGTAGTTTCGAACCGCTGACCTTAAGGTTCACAGCCGGATTCGTAACCACTACACTACCAGAGTCCCCGAACCAATTTTCGGGACCTGATTTAGAAGGAGGTAATATTTTACGTAAAAATATTTGTAAAAATCATTAAGTAATATTTCTATGATTTTAAACATACCTTAATCATCTCCATTTCTAAATCTTCATCACTTTCAATTACATAAGATATATCTTCTTTGTTATCTTGGGAAGATAAAACCTTTAACAAAAAGGATTTCAAAGATTAGTTTTTTCGAATAATCAACTCTACACTCTTGTCTACCAAATCAAATTCCTATACATTAGATAAGAAACTCTGGTAACCTAGTGGTAACAAATCCAGCTGTTAACCTCAAGGTCAGCAGTTCAAAACTACCAGAGGGTCCCCAGGAGAAAGATAAGGTTTTCTGCTCTCATAAAGATTTATAGCATTGGAAACCCTATACAGGGTTGCTGTGACTGGGAACCAACTCCACAGCACATAACCACTACCAACCATCATACATTAGATACCTTTAGACAATCTCGGTTGCTCTAACAAATAAACGCATACATTTCTATACATATATAATAAATAAATGACAGATACAGGTACACAGGTAGGTAGGTAAGTAAACAGGCAGGAAAAAATACAGACTAGCAGACAAAATAGATCAACAGACTTGAAATAAAAACCTATAATCTAAATGAAATAAAAAGTGAAATATAATCTAAATGAAAGACAAATCCAACTATGATTAAACTAGTTTTCCCAAATTTGTAATGGAAAGGTCCCCTTTGCAATGTTGAAAATTTTCAACGTTAAAGCATGAAACAGTAGAGTTTTGTTTTTTTTTAACTACTAACTTCGATAGAATTATAAAAAGTTACTATGATATAATTAAGAAATTAAGTGTATAGCAGATTGGGAAATCACACAGAAGAAACTCACAAAAGAAATGCAGAAGATAAGCCCAAGTAAAATGCCTAATATTAAAATGGAAGTAAGGAAAGGAATTAAAGCCTTAATTAACTTCCAACAATTAAGCCTTAAAAATATTTTTAATTAAGTTCATAAGAAAAGAGAAAAAGTATATTTACTTTTTAAATGCAATCTTCAATGAACAAAGGAAACAATGCTATTCATTAATCACATAATTTAAAATGCCAGAAAAATAGTTTGGCTATTATTCAAAAAGTTAAACATAGAATTTCCATTTGACCTAGCAATTCCAACTAGATATATGTCAAAGAGAAATAAAAACAAAAGTCCCCACTAAAACTTGGTAAATATTGATAGCAACAGTAATCACATAAATGTTGATAGCAAAATTATTCACAAAAATGTGGATGCAACATTATTAATAATCGCCAATACAAGAAAACAATCCAAATGTGCCTCAACAGATAAACTGATAAGTGTTATGCCATTCAGCCATCAAAAGAAATAGCTTGGATGAGCCTGGAAATTTTATGTGAAATAAGTCAAATGCAAAAGATCACATACTATATGATTCCTTTTCTATGAAAAATCCAGAATAGGCAAACCCAATAAAAAAAGAAAACAAATTAGTGGTTGCCAGAGAATGCAAAAAGGCGGCTGGGGAGGGCAGTGATTGATAACTTACAGGCATCTTAAAAGGTACAGGGTGTTTCTGGGTTGATAAAAATGTCTTTAAACTAGAGAGAGATGGTTGTGGCATTTCACTGTGAATGCACTAAATGCCACTTTAAAATGGTTAATTGTATGTTATGTAAATTTCACTTCAACAAATATTTTCAAATGGTAAACACTGAGGTGACAGATGTCACAGGTAAGTTATAAAATCCTGATCATAATTTCAGACCATTATAAAAACATCATTTTGAAATGTTTACATAATATGCAACTTCTAAGATAGTAAAGAGAAAGGCAGACATTACAACAAGATACTATTTCCCAAAAGATGAACCTAGTTTACAAATATTTGACATTAGACATTTTATAAATTTTTAAATAATATACACTTTTATAATATTAGAAGTAATATATGACTGTAGCTACCAAAAACAAACAGAATTTCTCAAATAACTAAGACTTCTGTTGTTAATGAAGGACAAATAACCCTACTAAAAGGCTCAAAACCCAACGTTTGAAACACTTATTTCTTGCCCCAAAATAACTCTGATTAACTAAGTTTAGAAAATTCTAGAGAGTAGGAACACCTTAATTTTTAGAAATTAATTTAAAACAAGTAAGGTAAAACTATACTGCTTTATTTCTTTTTATGATTTACCTTTATTGTAAAAGAAATTAAATAATCTATTACAAATTTACTACTTCAAAATTTAAAGTTAACTTAGAGGGAGAAAAATATAGTCTGACAAAATGAAATAATCTAATTAGAATATTACTGTTGTTGTTAAATGCTGTCCAAGTCAGTTCTGACTCAAAACTACTCAGTGTACGATTTTCAAGGAGTGGCTGGTGAGTTTTAACTGCCAGCCTTGCAGTTCAAACTGGCCTTGCAGTCCAGTGCATTATCCTGCATCACCACACCAGGACTACAATTACAAAATAATAACCAGAAATTTAGTCATTTGGTTGAGGAAGAACAGAATGTTATAATCTGTTCAGGATAAAAAACATAAAAGGTAGGTTATGAACTCTCCAGGTGACAATAAAAATTGGTACACCAAGCAAAAATATCAGGTGTTAATTAAAAGCACTCTCAAGATAACAAATAAAGAAATTCTGTAGAAGCAAATAAAAACTACCTCCAAAATAAAGTTTGGAAAAAAAACAATAGTAGATGTAAGAAATCCACTAAATAGAGGGATTTTGCCTAAAGGGAGCACAGTGGCTCTTTATAATAAGCACTGGACAGTGAGCCACAAGGTCAGCAGCTTGAGCCCATCAGCCACTCTGTAAGGGAAAGGGCTTTCTGCTGTGCAATGATTCACAGCATCACAAACTCTATAAAGGGTTGTTGTGAGTCAGAGGTGACTCAATCACACTTTACAAACAATTATGCCTAAAACTCGATCACACTTTACAACAAGAAATGCTAGAAAGAGGGAAAACAAATTACAACAAATATCTATTAACATTATAAAATCACTCTATCATGCTATTTATATCATAACTCAGCAGTGAGGAACTACGTTCAGCAGGGCAAATTAAGTCCACCGTTTCTTTTTGTAAATAAAGTTTTATTGGCAAACAGACATTCATTCCTTTACATTTGTTTATGGATGTTTCCAAACTACAATGGCAGACTGAGTAGCAGCAACAGAAACTGTCTAGTCCACTAAGTTCATAATTACTACTGGCCCTTTTACAAAAGAAATACTGCCAAACATTACCCTAGTGAATAAAAAATTGCTTTCTCTTTATTTAGTACCTCAGAAGATGTGTTAGTAACAACACTAGGATTTTCTTCTCGAGCCTGCTGTTCCAAGAGTTGGAGTTCATGCTCTGTAATATCTAATGACATCAAACAAATTCTTTCTGAATTCTCTTTCAGTTTATCATTTTCTAATCCATCTTCATGTTTTACTTCATTTTCAAGTATATTTTCTCCATCATGTTTAATTAAATTATCAACTGATGTGTTCCAGGTCTCATCTTTAGCAAACATATCTTGTTCTATATTTTCTTCCTGTTGTATTACAGCAGCAGTTGGATCATCTACTGTCAAGTTAAAATTACTGGCTGGCCTCAGTTCTCTCTCAGTGTTGGTAGAACCAAGTATTGTCTTCCTCAATGAACACACATTTTCTGAAATATCCTTCAAAAGCATACAAACCCTAAAAAACACAGAAAGGTTAATTCAACCCTAACTGAATTAAATACAAGCACAAATTTTTAGTCCATTGGTGGTAAAAAAAAAAAAAAAGTTAACACACTAACTAAAAAAAATTTAACAAACTAACATTGCTAACTAAAAGACTGGCAGTTTGAACCCACCCAGAGGCTCCTCAGAAGAAAGACCTGGAATTTACTGAAAAATCTGCCAATAAAAACCCATTGGAGAGGAGGCAGGGCATGATGGTGGCTAGGGTAGAGGTGTAGTGAAGTTCACTGTCAGCAATAACACAGAATACCAGGCAAAGCAGATCCAGGGCAGAGCTCCAAAACTCGGAACACAGAGATAGGAATATTTTAAAAGTTTGAAGGCTTATAACTTGTGGAGTTTGGAGCTGAAGTAAAAAAAATCGTGTACTTTTGAGTCTGCCGGGCCAGGCTCAGAGGCCTGAGCCGACATCCTGGGTGAGACCAAGCGGCAAGACAAAACAGGGGGAGCAGAAACACCACGGAAAAACGCTGCAGGAACCTTGGGACAAAGGTGGACAATATACTTTGTCAGTTTTGCTTTGTTCTGATTTTTTTTTCTTTGGTATCTGGTAATTGGCGTGCTCACTGTTTGCCCACCTCCATTCTGGTGAATAGAGGGAGAGCCTGAGCCGAGTGGCCACCCGCCACCATCACCACTGGTGGATTCTTCTGCCACGCATGCGCACAGATACTCAGCCCAAGGGGAGACCCTGAACTTTTACTATCTGTTTCCTTTTAGTTCTATTTTTTATCATGGGAAAGAGTAGAAGAGAGCTGAAGGGAGGGAAAGAGAGCCAAAGGTTGAATTGGAGCCTGAGGTTTAGCATAACAACCAACACTGGCAACATGGAATCTCTTGGGCAGCCTTGAAGACAGGAACTTAGGAAATTAAACCCATACTCATATTAAACTACAGATTTTTTTTTTTCCTTCTTTTTCTTCTCTCCTTCCTCTCCCTTTCCTGTGATTAGAGACTGCAGTATTCATTCTTGTTTTTGTTGGTGCTTTTTTTTTTTCTTTCTCTCATTTTCCCCCCTCACCCAATGGAGTTGTTTTGCTGTATTATGCCCCCCACCTTCTGCCTTTGGAGGACTCTTTGTCTCCCTATATTAAACTAGAAGAGTCAGCAACTGCTGGTATATAGCCAAGCTACAATCACACTCTATAAAACAACAAAATCCAGGCAAGAACCAATACTAGCTGCCATATATCAAGGAAACAGACAACTCCTGTGAAATTTTCTCTGAGTTAAGCAATAAGAAGAGTGAAAAGGGAAACCTACAACCTGATCACATCTCCCTGGAAGCAATCAGAAAGCATAAAAAATTACCAACACACATACTCAATTAAGTATTAAGGTCACAGGTAAACATAAAGCATGTCCAAGAAGCAAAAGCAGATGACCATATCAGCACATGTCAAGAAACAAGATAATATGTCTGAGACAAATGATCTAGAAGTAGACCTGGACTCCATTCTGGAAGGAGGGCAGACCTTGGAAATGCCTCAGAAGGAATTCAGTAAAATCATTATAAAATGTTTCAAAACACTTTACAATGGAGTTGAGAAAAATAAGGAAGAAGTCAGAAATGTGCTACAGGAATAGTCAAATAAGATAGATACAGCATTGGAAACAGTTCAAAAACTACAGAAAGAGGTCCAAACGATCAATAACAAAACAATAGAATTAGAGAACACTCTGAAAGGGCAGAGGCATAGAATAGATGAGATGGAAGGCAGAACAGTGAGCTGGAAGACAATCTCTCAATACCACTAAGATAGAGGAACAAACACAAAAAAGGATAAAAAATTCGGAGAAAGGCCTAAGATTCATGTTGGACAACACGAAGAGGAATAACTTAAGAATTATCGGCATTCCAGAACAAGAAGAATCACACAAGTCCACAGAGGAAATAGTTGAAGAACTGCTGGAAGAAAATTTCTCTAACATCCTGAAAAGTTAAAAGATAAACATTCGAGAAGCTCAATGAACTCCAAGAAGGGTAGACCCCAAAAGAAAATCACCAATACATACCACAGTCAAGCTCTCCAAACTCAAAGAAAAGGAGACACTTCTGAAAGCAGCCAGGGAAAACAGAAGTGTCACATAACAAAGACAAGCAAGTCAGATTAAGCTCGGATGTCTCAGCAGAAACCATGCAAGCAAGACAGCAATGGGGAGACATATATAAAACCCTGAAAGAAAAAAAACTGCCAACCAAGAATCCTTTATCCAGCAAAGCTATCAATCAAATATGATGGTGTAATCAAAACATACCAGAATTAACAGAAG